GACAGATCATGCCTTACCATCTGTCTCATATGATTTTTTTCCCCCTTATAAGACATGACGTGCTGGGAGCTATTGGAGGCAATTATTTGTTTGGCAGTTTTACTTATATAATTTTTGGTCTTCGTGGTGTGGGAAAGCAGGGGAATGGAGAAGTTGCTGAAGTGACCTGAAAGGCAAAATGAACCCAACGCCTCTTTCCTGGTCACACACCGCATTCAGACGCGTCAGTATTTGCCCACGGTTTCCTCTCTGGTCGGCGAGTAGCACAGGGGCCCAGGCAAAAAATACAAACAGTCCCAACACGACGGGGTGAAAGGTGAAGAGAGCCCCTCCCCCCACCACTGTCCGCACACACTTCAGGCTCGGATTGCATGTAAAATCACATTCTCCCGGGGTGGTGGTGGGGGGTGGAGAGGAATTCATTGTTTTGGCATGGGGCAGTGGGTTTGTGTCATAAAAAGTCCATGCTCTTACAAGTGCCTGCGCCTCCTTGACCAAGTGTCTCCATAAAAACTCAGATGCAGAGCAAATGACTCGGAGCTGCAGGAGCAACACGTTTGGGTTTTGACGAGTGTAAAGTGAAAGAGTTTGAAAAGAGATTTTTATGGCCAGTGAGGTGATAAAAAATTATGAAATTCACCAAATGAAGCAGTTAAATAAACCGCCTTCCAAGGTTTCCACGTCACGAGTGTATGGAGTGTGTGGACTTTCTGTATTCTGCAAGCCTGTTGAATTGAAACACACTTTTGTGCGTGTCTGTTTATATTCTTTAAACACTCCTGCATTCCTGCTCGGGCATTAAAATGTAGGTTACACTGCGCAAAGCTGTGGAGCAGTGGTCATGTGTGCGCACTGGCCATGTGTGTGTAGGTTCTTTCCTTACCAATCCGTCTATGTCCCCCCATTAAGCCGCTCTTCCACCGTGAAGCAGTGGGAAATAGAAGTAAAGCAGCAGCCACGAGGCGCACATCCGCCATGTTTACTTTAAATTAAAAACTAAACCTTGCATTCCTTTATATTTCACTTTTAGATATTTTCCCCGTGCACCACGATTGTTCCTAACGTGAATCTAGGTTACAATGCCACGCACTTAACTCCATGCCCCAAACATATCACATTAAAGCGACTTTTGGAGGTTCCCCTCCATGCTGCAAGCACACACACACTTTCACAAGAGTATTCTACCGTCTACACATTTTCAGCCTAAAGTGCAACATTTGGTCTTCCCCGGTATTTCCCCCCGTTCCACCAGCACACTACCGGCTCCTGTAAGAAACCTCCCCCGTGCTTCAGCTCTCTGCTTCGGCCACTCGGGTCTCCTCCCCTCCGGTCCCGACCAACATCCAGGCGCAGGAGAGGGTGCAGTAAGTGCCCTGTGGCATCTGCTGCATCGCAGATCTGCATAACAAAGAGTCCCTGGTCTTAAGTGGAAATACTCAAATATGTACATATACACAGGGTTATTTTTATTCAGTAATTATGACATTATTGTTTTAGGATGTTTTAGATGGCGATCAATTCAGAGCTTAGGATAAGCTGAGAGGTAAATTTAAAAATAGTGATCATGGTGTCAGCATGGGGGATGTTTGAGAAACTTCACCATGTTTTGGCAAATTCAACCTAATTCAGACAGTAATTACAAGCTATTTTTTAAAAGTATTTTATTTTTTAAAAATTATTTTATATTTGTGGGTCATATTCCAAAAAGTTTGTCGTGTTTTCAGAATTATTTTAAATATATACCCTTAATATTAATAACTGTGTGTTTGTGGATATTCCACGTGAACAGTTCTCTTGAATACACTGCTGCTGTTTTCATTAGATCACCATTACAATCTTTTACCCTGTGTTAGGTGTGTGTGAGGGGGGCATGAGGGGGGCATGTGAGACAGTGTGTTGAGTAATGCATTAATTCATATATTTTTTAAAAATGATTTAAAAGCATGTACGGTTTCACATCAACATCACTGGTCAACAGAGACCCGACACTGAATATGAAATTGTTGCAGACTGATCCACGATGCAGAAATTCCACAAGTGCCAAACAGTTGTCCACGATTGCTTTGCCATCTTACTATGTAATGATAGTGGATGTATTTATATTTTAGGACAATTATACCTTGTGAAAAGTGCACGTGAGTGGACCAGTTTAGGTCAGTGGAAGAGAAGTGGATAGGTTACACGGCTTTAAATCGTCTGCATCAAAGTGACAAGCCTTTGCAGTAAAACAATGAGCCACCCACCTTTATTGGCCATGTATGTGCACATATATGGTGTTATATATATATATATATAACATAAATATATATATTGCAGTGGTCATGACGTGGGATGAAGCAAGCAGCAAGAAGCCTCGACTGTCAGTCCCCCCCTTGCATCTCCCAGGCCATGCACGGTGCAACTGTGGCTCTGGGATCCGAGCTATTCCCCCGGGGATCCGGACCTCAGCAAGCTGCCCCTCCTCTCACTTCACTCCGCTGCGTCCGTGAAACTCCGCGTGCCCCACGTATTAATGCTGTCATATAATCAGCACGTGAAGAGCGAGTTTCGCTGCAAAGGAGAGCTCAACGTGCAGGTGACCTGTGGCTGTGTGGGAGTTGAACTGGAGTTTACTGATTGTGGAATGATTGGGCAGCCTATCAGACATACTGATATAGCTGCACAGAGGCGGCCTACACACACACACACACACACACACAAACACAGAGAGAGAGAGTGACCTCTTATGATGTGTTTTAACTGCAACCCTGAGCCTAACCCACGAGTAACTTGTGCGGTGCGTAACAGCTTTCTGCGGCTCATCCAGTCAAATATAACCTACTTTATAAATAGAAGGAGCTTTTTCACACTAGAGGCTACTATAATTATAACTTTTAATTATCTCTACAGAGTCTACGCCACAATGCGCACAGCCGCTGTAATGTAAGCTCTTAAATTAGATAAAAATATTTCAGTCACAGTTCGACCCAAATCACAGTCCCCGTATATAGGTTAACATCTCAGGGCGCAGCGCCATAACCCTGTCATCCAAATACACATCCAAATGTGTGTGGCTACAGGTACCTCTATATATTTCCCATTAAACCTCATTCATGTCCTGTTTTCTATCTCATTTAATATGCACGATCTTGTCTGTGGGTCCATGACCAACACGTTAGTGGTATGCGCCACGGTCCAATATTGCGTGGATTTTGTGGCCACGATCCAGTCACATTCAGAGGTTTAACAAGGAGCGATAATAACAACGCCTACGTACATAACAAGCTGTTTGATGTAACACCGAGGTAACACCGATGCCATTCAACACACTGAATGCTCTGTAAATAAGCAAATAGGCTTAACGTTGTGGAAACGAACATGCCCGGTCTTGAGTTTGGGCCCCATCGCGCACTGCCCGGTATGGAACGGGCCACAGGGGGATTCACGTGTTTAATAGATAACAAAGACGGTACATAACGCAGGGAGTTTGGAGAAAATATGCCTCAGGGGCGAAACACAATAGTGAGTCCAAACATCCGTGTGAAGGTCCACCGGTAATTCAAACAATTAGTCCTTATAATGTAGTGCAAGGGCGCGTTATGTGGACTAAGTGTGGGTGGTGGCTTCAGCCTATAGGTTGGTCATGATGTCTATGTGGTGTGTGTGTGCGCGCGCGCGTGTGTGCGTCAAGAAGAAGTGCGTGCGTCTTTGAGATTGTGCGTCTTTCCTTCATAAGTAAGAGTGTGCATACATATGAAAAGTCAGTGTAGTGTGTGTGTGTGTGTGTGTGCGCGCGCGCGCGCATGCAATATGCACGTGCGCAAAGACAAAAAAGTGACCACGTGTATTAACTATTACGCATGACACCACACAATCAGTTATATTAAACAGGTGACCACGTTACATTCAATCATCCCACAATACCCTGTGTTCCTGTTCCCCCAAATAAAACAAAGCTACTTGTTGATAGTGTTATAAATATTTTTAACACACCAGTATATGTCTGCAATTCATTAAATAGATTTTATAATTGTTGCTCCAATATGTGTCGTTAAAAAATGGCCGGCAGATCTTAATGGGGACGTTTAGTGGCTGCAGCTCTCACCTACATTGTCTAGAAAAATCTTGTGGGAAAAGCAACCCTGACTCTGCACTTTTAGCCTGTCCAATCACTGCTCGCGTTGTTTTAGCAGGGATGAAAAGTAGGCTACAATTTAACTCCACTAAATACGCATTAATAGCATTTATAGTGTTTAACGGTAATTTCTGTTTTTTAGAAAAACTCTAAATATGATAGTTGTAGGCGCAAATACAGAGGAGAGCTTTACACCGCATTTTAAATGATCACACACACACACACTGAGAGAGAGAGAAGGACACACACACACGCGCGCGCACTTGAAAGGGAAAAGGCATTAAAGCGCACTGGAAATGCCGATGAAGTCACTAAGATACAGCCAGACAAATAAATATAAGTCTACAGCAGTGTGAGCAAATATTGAAGGATAAGTAGGTCAGTCTATAGTCAGCCTTCGAGGAAAAAAAGAAATCCTATGGACGCAAAGCTAGAGCCAACAAAAGCAGATGAGTTGAGCCTTGGTCAGGGGCAGCAGCCTCAACGTGGAAAAGCAGCTCTCCAAGTGTACAAAGCAAAATGTCTTTGTTTAAGCTGCGCTGCGTTCACACACACACACACACACACACACACACACACACACACACACACACACACACACACATCAAACCGTCTCAAACACCCCGAGTGTGGAGTCATTTTACCAGCACACTATCGATTGCATATACCGCATGCATTAGGAGAATATGCACAATACATTCCAGTCTTATCATGACACTTTGGCTCAGGATACCTATTCTGCTCGTACCGTGAACCCGGGTGCGTTTTCTGCAGCCGCCTTCTGCAGCTTTCTGAAATATGAACTTGTCATAAGTGCATTATTTACTCTAACAGCGGAGTCTGTGGGCACAATTGTAAACTATTGTGATGGCAGGGTGTGTGAGGGGGTGGGGATGGAATATCCATTTTTATTGCATCACCTGTCAGCGGCGTCCAATGGGCGTCGACTCCGAGGGCATTAATTGATGAAGGTGTCTCCAGACTGGCGCACCTCCCCTCTCTGTCATTTTATTTGTGGCTCAACCAGCAGCCAGAATAGCAGCTGCATTTTAGCTCTTATTCTGTTTCTCTCTGACTCTCTCTCTTTCTCCCTTCCCTCCACCCTCACAACTCCATCTCCCTCCCTCCCTCCCTCCCTCCCTCTCTCTCTCTCTCTCCTCTCGCTATTTTATCCCTCTGGCTGAGGCAGTGGTGTACACCTACCCCTCGTCCTGCTGCCGACCAGAGGGGAGTGGAGCCGGCAGAGGCAGGTAGCAGCAGCCCCGGCTTGGTGGACGCATCCGTCGCATTCCTCCACCATGCCGGACCGGGGCAAGAGGCGACGAGTGGATGCTGTCAGACCATTCAACCTATTAGGCACCGGCAGCTCCATTTAAGTCCGCATGTCAAAGTTTGCATTTTCATGACGCAGCAGCAGCAGTGTGGATGGATCAAAGGTATGAGCAGGATGCCTTGAGCTCGCGACCCCGTGCCATTTACTGGTGAATCCATAAAATACTGAGAGTGTCTACATGGATTAATACATTGGATGCATAAAACATGGGAGACCTGGAGTGTGGCTTTGAGGAAATGCAAGGAGTGAGATTGGGATACCTGCTCATCAAAGGCAAGCAAATGTTTGCTTTGTCTCAGGTCTTCACCGACCTGCTGAAGAACATCCCTCGGACCACGGTGCACAAGCGCATGGACCACCTGAAGGTGAAGAAGCACCACTGCGACCTGGAGGAGCTGCGGAAGCTCAAAGCAATAAACTCTATAGCTTTCCACGCCGCTAAATGCACTCTTATATCGCGGGAGGACGTGGAGGCTCTGTATTTCTCCTGCAAGACGGAGCGGGTGTTGAAGTCCAACAAAAGGAAAGCGAAAGCGGTGGGTTCCCCCGGGGGTGAGGACGCGTCCCCGGGGCTCCTCCGTGCGGACGCCGAGCTGTGGAAGGAAAAAGTTTGGTTTAGTTTGCACGGCGTCCCGGAGACTCTCACGCTTCACAACAAAACGAGCAGGAGGCGAGAGCTGACTCCTTGCCTTACCGACTCCAAACTACCTCAATTTTACCACAAAACCCATGGACGGGAGTTCCGTTCGGCGACTAAGTCCAGTCACAAACACTTTAAAAACTATGAAACAGCTAAAATAACAGGGAACCGCGTTACTTTGAGCCAAAGGCACTCGTTTTTCCGGAGCGCGGTGAGCCGGCAGCCGGTGGTGCTTCAGTCCGCCATAGCTGCTCAGTCCAGGCTCTCGCGCTCAGCCGGCGACCTACTTCACAAAAGGAAGAGGAGGCGCGAGGGGGGCGGCGGCAGGGACAGCGCGAGGCACTCGTGGAGCAGAAGCAGACACGCGCACCACCACGTACCACCGGTGCTGCTCGTGCAACCCAAATCACCCGGCAGCCACGGGACTTCTTTCGGTGCTTTCCACCTCGGTCCGGATTTCTATCTTGACCCCCGACCTCACCATCATCACCACCACCAGCACCACCATCATCATCATCACCACCACCACGAGCCCAGTTTCCCGGAGAGTTACAGCAGCGACACTGAGTCCAGCACCTACTCGGACCGCGCGTACCCAGACTCGGACTTTGGCTCCGGTTTCTCCACCAGCAGCAACTCCGGCAGCTCCGAGGAGGAAGAGGAAGGCGAGGAGGAAGATGACACGCAGTCGGAGAGTTCAGAGGTCAGCTCAGACGAGGAGGAGAGCTCCACTCAGTCCGACTCCAGCTCTGTCTCTAGCCGGGTTTCTGTGCAGAGCATCCGGTTCAGACGGGCCCGGGTCGGTGCTCTTGCCAAAACTCTCAACACTAGTAAAGCACCTTTGGTCCTGCAGCCCACGTTTCACTACAACAACCAGCATCAACAGGAGAAACAGCACAGGACACTGGGCCATGCTGCTGCACAGACAGGCGACAGCAGACAGGAGAGGCATCAGAAATGTGAGTTTGGACCGTTACAGCCACCCAAATTTAACTCAGCTATAGGGGAGAGCTTTTTCACTGAATCCAAAAGGGAAAAGGTGTTTGACGCAGATCCAAACGGGGCTGACCATGTGGACGAGCTCCCCCCTTATTCACCGGGACCCAACCGGAGTAAGGCCTTTCACCCCTCACGCAGGACACCGGGGCAGCCCACCAAGTGCCCCCCGGGACTGAGCGCGCAGTGTGACCAGGACAAAGACGCCAAGCTCCCCAAATGTAGCGACAAAAGGGAGGCGAGAGCCAGCAGCGTCAAAGTGCCCAGTCCACTGAAAAAGATAAAGAGCGAGCCGGAGGAGCTGTGTGTGACCGCCGCCCCCCACCCGGACAGCGGCAGGACAGCCAGGACACCACCCTTCAACCTCCACAATGTGAAAGTTAAAGTGGAGGAAAGCTGTGATGAATATGAATACCAGAGCCAGGCCACTGGAGTCAAATGTAAAGGGGACAAGACAGAGAGCAGCAGTGGCCAATATCCAATCAAACACGGGGACTTTTTCAACAGCGGGATTAAAGCCACAGAGAGGAGCCCCGATGTGGCCCCCAGGTCCCCCTGTGGTCCTCAGGAATGCATGCGCACCCAGGACTCCCCGTGTATGGAAGAGGGGGAGCACAGGAACAAAAACTACAGGGCTCCGGTGCTGGGGAGCAAAAAACTCCGAGTTTCCAGGACGCAAACAAAACAAAACGTGCCCAGAGTCAACACGGCTGCCTCCTCCTGCTCCTCTGCTTCTTCTACTTCTTCTTCTTCTTCGTCGTCTTCTTCTCGTGCAGCGGGCTGCGAGGAGGTGTCCACGGAGGATTTACCGAGCAGACGCAAACGCAGCAACGCGAGCACTGTAGCATCGCCTGCGAAAATGCCTTTCAGCCTGATGGCAAATTTCCCATCCCCGCCGTCGCTGGTTGTTGGCAGCGACGGGGATTTGTGCCCTGCTTACTCCCTGAACTCGCTGAGGGGCCCCGGGCCTCCCCCTCCGTCCCACCCCGTGTGGAGGTGGCAGCCAGGCGGCCAGATTCTCCCTCCCCCACACGCTCAGAGAACTAGGAAATACTGAGCTGGTTTTGCAAGCAAAGAAAACAAAAAAAAAGGGCCCCCACCGTGTCCATCTGTAGTCTTAACGTGAGCTCACCAAAAATTGCTCGCAACTTTATCTTTATTCTAATTATTTTCCTGTGAATGGGTTTACATTCCGCTTTGTTTTGAAGTTTGATCGAGGAAAAAACACAACATGATCCCCCCTTTTTGGAGCCTCAGAAAACGCCCACAGGACTGTGAGACACCGCTCGTGGATTTTTAATGCTTAACAAAAAAAAACCTTGTGTTTTAAATAAGCTATCAATCCTAAGCAATATGTTAGGTTCTCCTTATTGTGTTTACTTGATTATTTCCTTCGCTTTTCTATGCTCGACCTGTTGGATTGTATGGTGCCAGGGTTTCTGTGGGTTGTGCTTTGTCTAAAAGAGGAAAGGGGTTTTTTAAAGAAAGAAAAAAAAGAAGAAGCCCACAGCATTCCTCGAGATGAGGCTACTCTTAATCTAGCTGGGTTTGACTTGGTGAAATCAGAAGAAAAGAAAATCAGGGTTTCCCCATTCTGTGCCACCTGGTGATATTTTATATATCAAAGCTGTGTTTTCTCTCATGGCTGTCATGCGCACCAGCTTGGCCACAAGTGTTCAATTTCAGAGAATTATTAAAAAATTGGTTTTCCTAGTGTCTATCTCTACATGCTCACGGTTAAGCCTTTATTAGATTTGACAGGAATTTAGGAGTTTATTGGTGGTTGTGGGTGTGTTTTTTTTCTTCTTCTTCTTCTAGAGTGCTTGTCATATAGTTTCCAGTCTTGTTTTTATTTCTGCGGAGCATTTCCTGGTTTTTGCAAACGTGTGACTGCGCACAGACGCAGGCCCAGTCACAACACAGGCCTTATGTACAGACAATCAAAAAGAAATAAGGCTCAGCCCTTCATAGCACGTTAGATCACCACGATAGACTCGAGTCACGTCCCTCCTGGTCCACTTGGCCACCGATTTTCCCCCTGCACACCATCATATATGTGTGGCAGGGCTATAGTCTGTTTGTGCGTGAAAGCACGAGTTGGAAATGAATAAATAAATAAGACAAAATGACAATATCCAAGTCAGGCTTTGGATGGGATGTGATTCAGGAGTCACAGTGGGGGGATAAAACAGCACCAAAACAGCGTGAAACGCCTTCTAGCTCCTCTGGCTACTCAGAAACAATGCGACAAAGCACAAGAGATAGGCTTAGAAGCATTGCACTTTGATACTGTTTGGGGGTCTTGTTGCAGCTTTAGGGTTTTCTGACCAGCCTGTGAAATGATGTCTGAGAGATGCTGATGGAGAAACAACAAAAAGATGAGAGACAAAGGCCAACATTTGACTGTTATTTTGGATATGTAGGAGTCACCCATGATGGTTTTCTGATTTCCTATAAGTCAATAATATGCTAATTTCCGTGGAGCCATTGTTCATTATTATATTTTTAAGTCTAAGTCAATTGTGTGGTTCTGGGCTGGGGAATTATTTCCTTTAGGACATCCAAAATAGACTTTAAAATATTGCTTTCTTTGTCAAGCACATCCCCATCATCACCTTTTAATGTAGCCTTTATGAATATGGCCGCTCAGTGAATGTAGTACCCCAGACCTGTTTCATTTGCTCCCTTAAATTCAGCCAGACTTCAGTGTAAAAAACAAAACAAAACACCTTTAAGCGGAAGTGAATCAAGTGGCTGAAGCTGTACCTACACGTAGGTATTCTGAGTAAATGTAAGATGTTTTTTTTTTAATGGCAGTGCAGGACGCGGTCTGCTAATTGGCAGGCTTTTTCTGTCTGCGACAAAGAGAGGCCCAGCTTATGGCGAGCCAGATCACAACAAACCCAAAGCCCGTGAATGATGTCAGCCTCACAAGCACAGCAAAGGGTGCATTCATTCAGAGGATTGTAGAAACTATTTAATGGGTGATTATAAAAAAAAAAAAAAAGGGGGGGGGGGGGGGGGGGGGGGGGGGGGCAGAGAGAAATGTACAAAAAGTGAGTTTCCTTCTGCCTAAATCAGTGTGGATACATATGGTGGGTGTTTGGCACCTCTCTGCAGCCATGAAGCCCCCAAAACTCACCGTGGGCCTTATTCCCGAGGCTGGAGCCACTATTCAAACTTGAACTTATATTCTCAGCCTGTAAACTGGCTATTTTTCTGCAGCCCGTGACACAAGCTGGTATATGAGCAGGCATAGCAGTAAAAACGGAGGGGGTTGCACAGGGTTGAGAGGGGGGTGGGGGGGGAGTTGCTGTGTTGCAAGAGCGAAGCTTTCAACCTTTAATCCGCATGTCAAAAGCATAGGCTGCACGGCATAGGGAGAAGAGGAATAGCCTGCGCCCAGAGCAGTGCGGGTTTTGCCCCCCTGACGCACCAGCCTATTCTCACGCAGCGCTCACAATGCGCGTCCGAGGCACGGAGATGGTGGTAATGGCCTGTTGGGAGGGTCTCTCCACCGTTAAGACAAATAGCTCTCTGACAGTGACGCTATCAATGTAAACAATTGCATCGTGCAGCAGCTAGAGGCTGCGTGCACTCCTCCTCCACCCTCCACCCCCCTCCTCACCTTCCTCCTCCTTCTCTTCCCCACCTCCCCTGCCCTCCTTATTCAGCCATTTACTTCGCTTTTTTGATACAATACTTGAGGTCAGGTTTTTGACATGGAATTTGAAGTCACTGGTTGTTTATATGAATCTGAATATTTATTTTTGTGAATTTTTTCTGGGTTTTTTTTTTCTTGTATATTGATTTTTTTGTTGTGAATATATATAGAACAACTGCACTCGAAATGGAAACTTGAACGGTGGATTTCTGAAGCACTTTCCCTTTCTTTTTTTGTTTTTTTTTAATTATGGAGCATTCATTAAACGCGACTGAGTGTAATTATCAGACTCTTTCTCTTTCTTTTGAGTTGGACAATCATTTGTTGTTTTGGAGAGAGGAGGTGGTGGTGGTGGTGGTGGGGGAGAGGTTAACACATTTAATGATGGAGAAATTGGCCTGGGATTTGCATTAGGAGAGGGTTATGAAAACAAAGAAATTAAGTGATTTCAAACTTCCCTTTTGTTTTTTGTTTTTTTTTTTGTTTGTTTGTTTTTTTATTATCTTTTATTTTGGGAACACAGCTGCTTTTCATATGTTGCAACACTTCGCCATTAAATGTCCCCAACCTTTCAATTTACCCTGCAACACGAGTAATTTCATAAATGTTTAAAGGCGTTTAGGGAAATCAGATATACCCAGTGTTCAATTAAATAACAGATAAGAGTTGTCCTGAGGCAAAGAGGTTTCACATTTGAAAGGAAATAGATCCACAGTAGAGCTTATCCACATTGTGCGCACTTAAAACCAACAATAGCCCTAATAATGACTGGCGGTAAACACCCCTCAAACATGGCTGCGTACAGTATCTCCAGTTTGCTCCAACTCTTCTATTAGTGAGGGAATCCCTTCCCCTGGTGTATTTAGTGGAGGGTGTGTGTATGTGTGTGTGTGCGACGGAAGAAGTGGTAGGCCTGCGGAGCCTGCAATAATAACAAGAGGCAAACCGCAGACATTTACGCATGCAGCATTTCCAACCACTGGCACATGAGGTGCTGTGAGCCTGCTCGCTTTAATACGTGAAACAGACTCCTGCAGGGACGCTTAACGTCTGTGCTACTCATAAAACAAACAATATTGGAGCTTGCATGCGTTTGCAGGAAGCTCGTGTCGATAATGTCCTGCAGCAACACCACAAGTACATGCGGAATTTGGAAGAAAGGGGGTGGAGAGTACAGTGATATCAAGAGGGGTAAAAAACAATAAAGTTAACTAATAATACACAACCATGTGTACCTGTATGGACACACGGGAGTGCAGCTAAACTCGCCTAAAGGCTATTCTGTGCAGCGCAGGACCACGCAACTTTCCTAAGAAAGCTCTGACCAGACTTGCTCCTCGCTCAGTCTGCCATGTTTGACGTGATGTTTCCCTGATTAATGGGACTCTGCGGTATACGGTCCAGGCCAGAGCCCCGAGGTTGATAAGGGGAGCCGGGGCTGGCAGGCTGTCTGGCCCCGGCACGACGGCTGCTGCTGCTGCTGGAGCCTGGAGGGGCCATACTGGGTGCAGAGACACGCCATTATACTGCTGCTGGCGTTTCAGGGTTAAATTCCAGTGCGGATTGGGAACCAGTAGACTGTAACTTCTATAGAATAACAATAGAAAGAATACGTGGAACAAGAACAAAACAAGCTTTGACGCAATTTATTTTTGAAATCATAAAAAAACAAGGGTTTCAAAAAGCTTTATTGCGCACGGAGTTATATTCGTGGCTGGCTGCATGTTTGGGAAACGAAGTTATGGGTAATGCTGACAGACACATGCCGCGTTCAGGTCAGCACTTTGCATTGATCTTTGAGACAATTAAATACACGGAGACCGATAAAAGCTGTCAGGACGTTTTTATGTTTAATCTCTCAACTGTGAAGTATTCGCCTGCCACTCAGCGCTCCACACAAGGTCACTCACGAGCTCATAATATTTAGGGTGTGAAATATTAATAAACAAAACAAGAGGGGAGGATTTGTAAAAGATTCGCGTGGGTGTGTTGTTGCAGGCTTTTAATGCATCGCCGGTTACGCAGCAGTGTTTTCTCTCTTTCTCTGGATGAATTAGTGGAGCAGAGGAGCCACGGAAACGGCTCCCTGCGTGATAAAATAGTTTAACACGAAGCTGTGGCAGCGGGACCTGCAGATTGCATGCACACACGTTTTGCTTTTCTGACGTGGAGCTTGTGTGGGAGCACTGCTGCTGCTGCTGCTGTTGCTGATACAGGGCGGTGGAAGACCATTTGCATCGTCAGCCTAAAATCAAAATTAAAACAAAAGAAAACAGAGTGAAATGAAAGTGGAGTTGTGTTGAGTCAGAATATAAATGTAATAAATTATTTAAAAATTCAGGACTTTTTCTGAAAGTTACTGCGGAGAGAGACTTTCCATTTTACGCACAGTGCGTCACAGATACAATCTGGACGTTTACATTAGTGACTTTAACTTTACGTAAGCTGTGCATTCAATAACTTCGCAGTAAGATAACTGATGCCAGCAGAAATGGGAATGGCTAAATGTATTGTACGTAATTCCAATATTAAAGCTTGCCCCTTTAATCAAATGAAACACCACGAGGAGCTGCAGGCTGTGACCCCACACGACTAACCAGAGAGCAGAGCTTCTGTTCAAGGTGTAAAACAAACTTTCCCCGTGAGAAAACTGCGTATGAAATAATGGCTCCTCCATGCGCCGAGCTGTGCGCGCTCCTCTGTGACCCCGCGTGCTTTTCCCCTCTTTAACGTGAATTTATACAAGCTACAGACCTGAGAGACAGGGTGGATTAAATGAACAATAAAATCCCGTCTGTTCTGTCCCCACTCTCATATCTCTCTCTTCTTGGTATTAATATTTTGACCTTTTTGTGTGGTAGAGCTGTGAGCACTTTCACGCTCCAACAGTTGTGCCTTTAAAATAGAGTTTGAGTTACATGAAGGAGCAAAGTTTAATGTGACAACAGAACTAAGGTTTTAATTTGCAACCCTGTTTTCATATGAATTTGGTTATAATCCTTTTTCACAAAGTATTATCCAAACTTTGGCTACAGCCTTTGGGCATTTTACATTTTGGTGACTGGCAATCAGTCAATGCAAAAAAAAAAAAAAAAAAAGTCACGAGACCTGCATGAATAAAAAATAAGTAGTGCAAAGGTCAGGGCCTCATAACACCATAATATTCATATAATCATGCAGCCAAGTGCGGAGTGATACAAAAGGGTTTTCTGCACCAACTTATCCCGAAGTTTCACTACAATAACTGCCATCCAATCCCACTCTTGCGCATGCATTTCCTTGTGGTTCACCAACACGATCGTGGCTTCACACGAGGGAGGAAGCTGCCGGGGAAACAGCGCTGCCTCTGCTGGGTGTTACCCGGCATCTGCCCGCACAGACGCGGGGTCAGAGGGAGGGACGGCGGCCTGTGTGTGTGGAGAGGAGATGGGAGCAACTCTGCTGCTGCTGCAACTTTTGCTTAGTTAAAATCACCCTCAAAGTCAGACGGGATATTTAAGTACAGGAGAAGATACTGGTTAGTTTGTCACTGCAGTTAAAAAAGAAATAATAATAATTTTACTTAAAATTCTAGTGAAATTTACGCACTGCATATTTGGGCTCCTGCACAACAAAAAAAAAATCTATAAATAAATATAGCGTAAAGACACAATGTCAAAGTTAGTACTATTTTTTTAAATACATTTTTCATTATTTAAAATAATCTACTAAAAAAAATCCGACTAAAATGTCTGATACTGCTGAAATGATTCAACTCTGTTTTCCAGCCTGCACGTGCAACACAAAGTCAAATGATCTCCAGTTAATAACTGACCTCAGAGCGCTAAAACGCGCGCTCAGAGAAGACACAGGGAGCCCACAGAGGAGGATTTCCCTGGCCAGAGGGACCGCATGGGGGGAAGGAAGGAAGGGGAAAACCAGCACTGGAGGGCTTCTGCTCGGTCATGGAGCTCAACTCCATTTGTAAAGGCTTTTCTGCGGACAGGAGAGAGCCAGATGTAGCGCTAATGTTGGATGGAGCATGGAGACTGGAGCAACTTTGAACATACAATTCAATCAGTTATCAACAAGCCCCAAGACTTCAGCGACGTGTCTGGGCCTCGGGTGCAGCTGTAAGCCCGGTGTTTAGGCGATCAGAGGGAGCCAGCACTGATCGGAATCACAGGAAGGCGTTTACACAGGCCATGTTGGGTCTCTTTCATCCAGACACTTCAATAGGTTTTAATAGTAAAACTTAAACTGATATTGCCTCTGTTTACTGCTGGCCTATATTGTGTCTCCCATTAGAGATTAATTTATGAATTATTCATCATTTATAGACCTATAAAAACATTTTACGCATACATTCAAAACTGTTTTAATC